CCTACTTCTGGATGGTGGTTACATGGGTATATATAATTGTCAAAACTCATCAAACTGTTCTTTTAGACAGCAACATTGTACTCTAGGTAAATTATACCTCAATAAAGAAAAAAACACATAAAGAAAAAGAAGGTATGGTCAAGTTCTAGAGTCTCAGATTCTGGGACACATTCAGGATTTATAAAAGTTGTTTAATATGAAAGATTTCTATACCAAGGGGACTCTATAGAACTCAAAAAACTGTAAAAGGAACATAAGAGGGGAGCCCTGGTGCCTAACAATAAGCTACTTTCCACAGCCCCCCTCCATCCCGTATTCTATCATATCCTGTTGCATTTCACCCCTAGGTCTGCTGAAGAAGGCAACTTGGCTCCTGCTCCAGTTTCAGGGGCAACTCCAGGGCAGGAGACAGGAAGCAGGCTCTGCCCCTGTGCTGCAAGGCTGTGCTGGGTGTGCCATCTTACTTCTTCCTGTCCTCCTCTTTCGCTGAAGTGGAGAGGAATGGGGTCCCTCTCACCTGGCAACAGGATGTTCATGGTCTGTGGGGGCCCACTGGGGGGAAGAGTGTGCTGCTCAGTATCAGGAAAAACAAATCCTGGCAAGAAGCAGCGACTCAGGTAGAAGGGCTTAGAGCCAACTTGGGGGATCCAAAGATGGACTTTCAAGCTGTGGGTTGAAGTGAGAATGTTTTGGGTTGAACTGTTTCCTATCATAAAAGAGATGTTGAAGTTTTAATCCTCAGTACTTCACAATATGATCTTATTTGGAAACAAGGTCTTGATGGCGATATTCCAGTAAAATGAGATCATTCAGATAAGTCCTAGTCCAACCTCTGGTGTCCTTATAAAGAGGGGAAATATGACAGAGACAGAAATGCACTGAAGTAAGACAAACGGAAACCACCATGGAAAACATGCCACGTGACTGGAGGGACACAAGTACAAGCTGAGGAATGTCAACCACAGCTGGCAAACACCCCAGTCAGAGGGGGTGAAGAAAGCCTCCCAGAAGCACGAGGAGCGCGTGTAGCCAGCTGACACCTGGGTTTGGGGTTTAACTGGGAACCGCTATGCTCCTGTTGTTTAAAGCTACTCAGAGGGGCTGGGAGACTTAGTAGCGCACTTGCTTTGCAAGCGCGAGGTCTGGGTTCAATCTGCACCCCCTAAAAGGG